AATAAAGGCCCTTTTGTTGCCTGGCCTTTATGACTTATAGGGATTAGTTACCCATAAAACTCCTGGTGGGAGGCACCCTCATGCCAATTGCCCGAGTCACCCCATCGATCCAATTCAATCTGAGAAAAGAAAATACAGTAGAGGAAGGTGGGGTAGGATGAAGTCGTTAAGGTTTGAAAAGTAATAAGATGGCAACCACTTTAATGAGAACAAAAATTTTATTCTCAGCAACTACAACATTTGGTAATATATAATACAAAATTTAATTTTTGAAAAACGTTTTTAAAAACAAGAAAATTTAATGTTTTAAAATTATACGTAAATGCACCATCTTGCCCCACCCGTGGGGTAAGATGGGAATATTATTTTTATATACAAGAAAAACAAATAAAAATGGTTAAACTGTCGTTTTCTTCAATATTGGCACAAGAACAATGCGCCCATTTATCATAGCAGCTACATTTATTATTATTTTCCAAATAAATAAATATAAAAGTTTAAACTTACTCGTATTTACTTTACCAGACGATACTGTCACTTCGCGCACGCTCAGTTTTGCTATTTTGTAAGCAGACGATATTTTTTTCGTGGAAAAAATTTTTATTTCGATTGTTATCTCACATTTTATTTCTTATTAAGATAGTATTTAAATTAAAAAAAAAATGTTTTAACAAATAAAATGAAACGTAAAAACATAAATAATAAAGTAATACAGTATATACTGTGTAAATTTATTACAGTTAGATATGATTTAAAAGTGGAATATTTCATTTTCTATAAAAAGATCATTTTTTAACTTATTATTTTATATATTCGAAAAAATGATATAGAATTATCAATGACAACGAATTTAAAACTAGTTCACTGCACTATATTGCAGTGCCTGTAGCCAACAGCAGAATTCATGGCCAAGATGGGGATCTTGCCCCAACGTGCACTTTTCATACTGACTGAAAAAACGGATCAACTTTATTTCAAAACTAAACAATTTCAGTCTTAAAGGTTACTTCGAATACCATAATATCTTCATCTAAAAAGTAATGTGAAAGTTCGCAATGATGCTTACTTTGTAGAAACTTTGTAGCGGGCGTAAAATTAGATGAAGTATTGCCGAAACGTGGAAAACTGTCTTACTTCCGAACAAAGAGAGCGATTCGGACATTCTCTCGTCCCGTGATCCCTTTCAAGATTGACATTTAGTTCCCCAAATAACAGCTAGATGAAAGCGCGTTAACCACGAATAAACAGACGTCTCCGTCTTACCCCATTGCCCCATCTTGCCCTATATAGACTATATTTTTAAATTAAATGATGATAAAATTTTAACGCCTGTGTTCACTAAACAATTGTTTTAATCCAGTTTTATGGTAAGTTATAGAATAAATCTATAGAAAATTTATAAAAACTCAGTTGACAAGATTACAAAATGAATATTTAAAGATCCGGAAAAAAACATTCGCAGTTTCGCAATACGACAGTTTATGTAAGTAGTCTCTTAATAAGATTTTCCTCAACTGTCAACCTTTGAAAAACTTAAACATTTTACGATTTATATAATGAGTTTTTCAAGAACACTTTAACTTAATAGTCAATATAATTGGAAAAAGCAATAAATTCAAATTAACTCATATTCTTCGAAAAAGTCGTGTTGGAAGCTATGAAAAAAGTGATGAAATTACTGAATTTTTCAGATAATTGTCTAATTTGAAGATTATTATACAACAATTTGAACTCTACGTAAAGATCACCGCTAGTAGTGATTATTTCCAAGAATTTATGCATTGTCATGACATAAAACAGCGAAAAGTAATTAAAAGTACCTGATATCCGTATCTAAATCTGATCATTTACGGAGAAGCCACTATATTTATAGAAACAGCAAGGAACTCAATTTACCAAAGAAAAAAAAAATAAGAAAAAAAAACAGTGGGAAAATCTAATATATCAATTACGTGTATGCCCTTAGAATTATAAACAGATCTACCGTGTCTATTTTTCCTTAAAGTTCATTTGTAGAAACATTATCTATAATTTAAACCGGTTTAATATATAGAAATGCATTTTAAGTTGCACAATTCGAAATCTCTTAAGATAAACTATAGATTATACAATTCGACATTTCATCTTGTCGACTAACGGAGAATGATAATGTAGCAAAGTGGATAATCATGAGTGTGTTGCGATTTTTAAATGATTTATTTTTGAGCGAAGAATTGATAAATCTCACCTTTATTCAATCACGAAAGTGGGAAATTTTTCGAATTCATTCAAAAATTTCATAAAACTCGGTGAAAAAGGGATCATTAAACAACAATGAAGTTTATTTGACAGTCACTTATATACAGGGCAAGCGAGAGGAAGGGGAACCCTTCCTCTCGCTTGCCCTGTATATAATTTGTACAATAGAATGTTACGAAACCTAGAAAATAGATTTATGTAATTTCGTGTTTATAGGAGGAAAAAAGTGATATACCGTAAGCATATAATAAGGTGTAGTAGTGCCATGAGGCCTTAGCCCCAGGACCCGCGATCGACCCCTCGTACAAAAGTTTGATTATATTCTTCTGGCGCTGATCCAAACAAATCGGAATGCTAAATGCGAAAAATGGTGGCAATGACTAAGATTCCGACAAACACTTTTATTTTAGAGGATTTTACACATAAACTTCAATTTAGCTCCACCTTTGCGTGCCTAAAGTTGGCACTAAATCGAGCCTGAGGCTATATCGATACCTCGAGCAATACGAATTATACATAATGAAATCTATAAACTCTTCAGTTTAGTTTGTCACGATTTGCAATGCAAACGCGTACAGTACATTCAGTAATCCAGATATTGTAAAATTCTCTAATATTTACGGGAAAGATCCGATCATATGTATGCATTAGCATTATGTAGCTGAATTAAAAAACCCCTTTTTTAAATACATTAAATATTTTTATACTCGGCATTTGCTTCTTCATAAACGTAGAACTTGAGCATCATTTTGTTTTTTCCTATGAAAATTCCATCTCAGCTTTAAAATGTATAGCAACTTATTGGCCGGATGGAATTCAGAGGATAAAACCTATCCCTACCTATATCCTTGACCTTTGCAACCTGGCCTCTATACAGTATTTAACGGTTCATATAACTTGAGATCCACGTATTTACGATTCTGCGCCCGTCACTAACAGCCAGTTTTCCACATTAATAACTTTTATTTTCCATTCTTGCACGCGAAAATGTCATCAGAGAACGCATTTAGCATTTTAAATATGTAGGAATTATACTTGAAATGCAAATTTTTTACTCAAAAATGCGGCATTTTTTCACTAATCACGTATTGATACTTTAATATAAACAAAAGTAACGGAATATCCTTATATCAAAATTGTGTACTATCATCGCAAATTGCGCAAGTTTCGGAAAATGGTATTTTTTGCATACCTACTATTTTCTGAAATTTTCTTTAATACGTTTCCAAGTAAAACGGCTATAAGATCAGTAGAAGCAATCTATCAAATTTTTTATGGTCTATAATGGCACCAACAATTGACTGCGTTAATCAAGGGATACAGTATATTTTACATAATGTATGTACAATGTCTTCTTTTATAGCTTGTGCCACCCTTTTTCTGTAGTCTGCAGGTGCCTGTTCTAATGTACTACTCTTTCAACAGTTAAATGTATTATTTATGTTGATTGTAATGTTACATAGTTCAATCACAATGTATAGGACTTTGCATAATGGAAGTCCCCTTCTCAAGATTTTATGTTATATAACGTTTAAAAAATTTTCATTCAAAAGCTAATAATCTTGTATGTGTTGAACTCAAATTTTTAGTTTTTCAATAATTTACACTAAATCTCTTGAAATCGAATGCTTGAATTAAAAAATTACTTATTAATTAGGTATTGTAATATATTCTCATCAGTAAGATTTGGAGATCAGAATATTACAAAATCCACACATCGGTGCATTTGAGAACAAATTTTCAATATGTGAACATTCATTTTTCTAAGATTTTTTTTAATATTTTCTGTTTGTTTGTGTTCTTATTGCAACAAGCATCCAGTTAATAAATAGAAGACTGATCAAACTTATGTGGTAGTTTTCATACTATTAATCATTTTTGAAAATAAAAACATTAGTGATTATAAAATCTATTACCACCAAATAATCAATTTAGTTCTTGTAATTTAACATAAACCATCATAGAGAGTGAATCCACTATTCATGATAATTGATTGGTTTCTTAGCATGAGAATTCTACATTGAACATACAGTGGTTCTCTTGCTAAGAAACCCAACATTACTCAATAACTTGCCTACAAATGCTTGGATGATGGAGAGGACCATTTTCAACATCTGTTTTAGGAAGATCTTGTTCTGCAAGTAGACATGTAAATTTTCTTAGAAAAAAGCCACAGAACAATAAAGTTATTGAGGCATGTTTGAGTTTCCTAGCAAGAAAATAAATCATCCCATATACAGGTATACCTCGCCTTACGTCATTAATTGGTTCCAGGAGAGGTGACGTAAGTCGAATTTACTTGTCACAAGGCTAAACAATAAATTATTATTCCCGGTTCTGTATTTTATTTATTAATGCATATTTAATAATATATGGTTAATAAGGATCTATTTTAAGCTTACAAACAAATAAATTTTAGTTTTTAATATAGTACAGAAAAAAGTAATCTAAATTTACAAATGTATGTACTGTAAATACAGTACGTACTTGTAAGTGTATATATTTTAATATGATTTTATGTGCTTTAAACGCTTTTCTAGTGATATTACGACTTCAATATCTGTGGCAGACAGATGTAGTCAAATAAAATGATTTAAACTTGATTTTTATTTTTCCATATACTTTTTTGACAAATGACATATAATCGGGGACGACATAAGTCGAGGTATACCTGTAATAATTACTGTCCAAAACTAATTCAATTGCTTATCTCAAAGTAAAAATATGCAAATGTTTAAAAACTTTCACATTTTACTCAACAATTTCTTAAAATAATCAAATTTTGTTTCCAGACACGTTATCAATATTTTATTGATTTTTAATTACAGTTTGGATTTATGCTTCACTAACATCAACATTTTCTGTCTGAAGACCTAAAATAAAAAACAAAAAATTAACATTATAATTATAAAAATACCTTACTCTTTCTTTGAATTATTTATAAATTTAAAATTAAAAAGTTACTATGCAGCATAATGATAAAATGTATCTCAATTAACAACTTTTTGACAATACTGTATATATAATTTGAGATATTTTTAAGAATTAAAAGCTTACAGAACAGAAGAAGAATTATTATTATTTGTAATTTAAACATTTCATTGAAAGTGATTGTATCATGAATACAACCTGCAGCTATTCCAAATCAAATTTAACTGTTTTTAAAATACAGTAGAGCATCATTATCCCACTCAATTGGGGGACTGGTTGGTCGGATAATTGAAAAGTTGGATAACCAAAAAGTATGAAAAAATCCATTATTAGTGTAGTATATTATTATATCCCATGTAATTAGTATATTAGTATATCGCTATTAACTTACTTTGTATTGAATTTTCATCAATGTTAAGCCTAACAAAATTTTTTTTAAAATAATAATCGTCACTATTGTATCGTTAAAAATTAGAAAATTAATCCTCGTTTAAATACTGGCTCTCTTTCATGGTCGAGCCAGTATTGCCAGCTAAAACACGTAAAAATAATATTATAGTAGCCAAGACAGCCAAATATTGTAGCACCACATCACTAGCGGAAATTTGAATTTGCCGACTAGAATGCGGTCAGTTAAACGAGGTGACGGTTAATTGATGCTCTACTGTATTTATATTCAGTTAACTGACTTTTGTGCCACCCCACAAATATCAATATGCAACTTGGCATTCAATTATTAAAAAATACTATAATTTAAACCCTTATAATTCAGGTAGAAAAGAGCTATTTTTGGAATTAAGTTGTTGAAGATGGAAAAATGCTTTAGGAATTCATACATTTTGCAACATTTACTGTAACTACTCTAGAGCATTATAGTCATGGAGTTAAGAGTCAGAAGCAAATTTATTGCTAGAAACATCCAAATCAGTAAAAATGGACTTTAACTTCCTATCTTGCATTATAGAAGCCTCAATGCAATTTCTTATTCTATGATGATTCTTCTACTTCATGATATTTCTTTGCACATCACTAATTACTGTTGATTTTCTTTTTATAAATTTATATTCAAATACATTTTGTGATAGCTAAATTCTAAAATTTTATTGTGAAAAGACCCATACAAATGGTTAAGACAACTCAAGTTAAATCTAGTGTTTTTGAATACTTTACTGTAACCACAGATGGAGAACATTGTGACTATCAACAGTATGGTTGATGATGAGGAGGTTAATAATGGTGATAATGAAAAAACTGAAAAAAGATAAATACTTTCAGTTTTGACAGGAACACCTGATGATTCACTTTGTAGTGATGAAATGCCATTCTAGGTTAATATAAAAGTATACTTTAATTATTATTTAGATGCAGGAACCAGCCTTTTAAAATTCTATGAGATGGGTTTGGAACTTGATATAGACTTCAGAATCTTGACATAAACAATCCAAACTCATTAGCAATTGTTAGATGAAGATAGGCTCAAAGAGAGATCATTAATGAGAGAGAGAAAGAGAGAGACTAATAATATATATTCAGATTATCTTATCTAATATGATATTTTGTCAAAGTTATGCTTTTAACATTGCATTAATTAAACAACATGAATATTGTATTATATAGTATATACTGCATTAAAAACACAGTTTATGCATAGAATTTGTTATAAATCTTCCTTGTTAAACAGTAATTAATATTTGTTAATGAATTGTTTATAACTTGGTATCAAATATGAAATTCAATCAAGAAACTGCTAAATTTAGAAGACAAAGATTTACTTATAACGTTTTCAAATACATTTGTTCTGAGATCTGCATGAAGAGCTCTTCATGCAGATCTCAGAACAAATGAGAATACAAAATGTAGACAGCTGAGCTTAGAATAACTTACATTTAGAATTTTCATAACTAAAATTTAAATAAGAAATTTTTGACAATTCAAAAAATTCTCCGAAAATTCATAAAAATCTCTGAAAATCCAAAACTTTTGAATTTTACAATTTCTATACTCAAAAATTTCATATTTAAATTGTTCTAAACTCAATTGTCAACATATTTTGTATATTCTCATCTGTTCTGAGTTTTACATGAAGAGCTGATAATGGACAAAATAGGCCTAAAAACATGTCTTTTCAAAACAAATCCTTTTATTTCCTCAACTTAGCAGTTTATTTTTAATATTTGTTAAAATTACTGATAAGATAATCTTAAAAAATTTAAACCATTTATAAACCTGATTGTAAGATAACAATATAAATATAAATTCAGTTTTTGAAGAAAAATTAAATGTATAAAACAAATAATATTTATTCAATGTCACCTATTTTAAATAGCTAGGCCAATAATTTAACTATAAACGAAAACCCAATTATGATCAATTCATGTAACGTTTTCAATATAAATAAAAAGTTAAATTTGAAAGCAAAGAGAAATTAATACACAATTTTAAGTATCTAACAACATGATTAACATTAATACGTTGTTATAATATGCTTCATTTTAAATTAGAAATTAAATAACAATTACTGCATTTTGTTTAATTATTTATGATTTCTTTTAACAACACTTATTTGTGTAAAATAATTGTCATCTATCTGTAACTAGTTAATAATCCCATTTGTGAAATGATATTACTTTGTTTCAAATAATAGTTTCAAACTTATTAGTTTATATTCATTATGCTATATCCTATTAAATTATATATAAAACAAAACAGTACACAAGCTTCACTTCTTACATAAAATGAACAAAAACATATTTTTGTTCATTTTATATATAAAAATATCACAAAAACTATTTTTTATTTTCTAACTGATGAGGCCAGAAAAACTAAATAGCATCTCACTCACACACTATATGCATACATACTGTACAGTAAATGTACGAGGTGTAGGCATATATAAATGAAACATGTTATTTTTTGATAATATAATAGTTCCCCATTGTATATCAACATAAGAGCAAATCATTATTACCTTTAAAGCTTGCTACAGGAACATGAGTAACAAGTGTGTACAACTTATGAGGAGAGTCTTCATCTTCATTCCTTTTTCTTGATAGGCGTACTCTTACTCGGTATGGAACATTTCTAAGATAAAATTTACATAAAATTTCTTTGTATTTTATCATTTTAGATATTGTAATAGAGAAATAAATGAGCATGTAAATATATAGCACAAGAAAATTATCATTCATTATAATTCAACAAAATATTTCATTACAAATCAGTTTCAAATAAACTAATTACAGTAGAGCGTCGTTTATCCAAATCAATTGGGGGCTGGGGTTGTTCAGATAACTTATTTTTCGGATAACTGATTATGTACGAAAAAATATCCCATGTTGAAAATTTTCTCCGTTGCATGTCACTTTGCGTTGAATTTTCGTCGATGTTAAGCCTAATGTAAACTTTTCAAAATAATAATCGTGGCTATTGTATCGTTAAAATTATTTCTTTATTTTTTACAAGCAAAATAAATATATTGAAAAATATAAAACCAAAAAAATTATACTTTAGAAGTTAATCTAGTATCAAAAACGTTTGATTCAGCACAACACACAGTCTTCAGAAAAACACCACACAAAAGTGCCAGTGCTGCCAGGTAAAAGATACATCAACCAAAAAAAAATATTGGAGTAGCCCAAGATATAGCCAAAAATTGCAGCGCCACAGCAATAGCGAAAATTTAAATTTGCCGACTGGAATTCTTTCAGATAACCGACACTCTACTTTTATTAAACTTGAAAAACGTAAGAGACTTTCACACACTCGATAACTTTATTTATACAATCTATAGAAAAACAGTTATTAATGGCATTAACCAAACATTTTGTATGTTGAATATAATACAGTACTGGCATTAATTCTGGACATTTTTTGTAACTGGCATTAATTCAAGACATTTTTATTTGTATCCTCAGAAAAATGCTTTCTTAATATGTAAACTGTCAATTTAATCTTACATTTATGCATTTTAATTCAACATATTAGATATTATAACAAGTTTAACAAGTTAGAAAGTGTAATAATTATTCCCCTTCAAAAATTTGAAGAAACTTTTAAATTATCCTCCAGTAATTCATAGTTTTCTTTAAAAACTACAAAATCACCATTATATTTTTTAACGATTAACATTTTTCTGTATATTGTTTAATTTGGCATTTATTAAATTATGTATTTTTCTCAACAAATAAAATGATCTCTAGTTATTGAAGAATTTTTTAAACTTTTATATATTATGAAGGATCAAAGAAGTGTCCTTAAAAAGAGTGATGTACAGTACAATGCAGAATTATGAACATTGTTCTCTTGATGTAAAGTTTTTTTCATAATCTATTAATTTGGTAAATTAAAACTCGTTAAATATTTACTTACGTACGAAATATTTATGGTATATAATACTAAACTACAGTAAGACCCTGCTTAACTTAATGCTGTTTTGGTATTAGGCGATAGTATTGGAATTCCCTGAGATTGCATGCAGCATTGGGATCCCCTGAATGCATGTTTGCTGCGTCACAGTTGATTTAAGATCGGTCATCAACTTTATTGTGTGTATAAAGATATAAGCATATTATTTTATCCTCACTTCCTCAGCGGTTTACTTACAATCAAATACCAGAACACTTGCTGAGCTTACTGTACTTTAATGTTCAAATGCTTTCAGCCTATTCTTATAGGCCATCTTCAGGAAATTATCATTCCATAAACGAACATAAAGCTTTCAAACACTTGTAAAATTTAAAGTTCTATATATTTTATTGTGATAAATACGGCACTTTTTAGTTTTTAAAATGGGTGATTGCAAAGAAAAAGAAAGTAAAGTGACAAGAAAATGCATTTTGCTGGAAACTAAAATGCAGGTGAATGGCAATCTGATATTGGCACTGCATTAAATTTGTCAACTTCAACAATACGAACAATTTTAAAAAGTAAAGAAAAAATCATATCATCAGCAACTACAACTACGACGACTTCCCCCGTAACAAAAATTACACATACCAGAAGCAATGTGTTTTAGGAACTGGAAAAACGACTTTCCATCTGGATTGATGATGAAGTTGAATACAATATGCCATTAAGTCAAGCAATTATAATGGAAAAAGCGAGAACAATTTTTAACCATATTCAGAATGAAAAAGGCGACGAGTGAAAATTTCATACCTAGTCGTGAGTGGTTTAATCAATTTAAAAACAGAAACAATCTTCATAACATACAGGTTACTGGAGAAGCAGTGGAGACACAAAAGCAGCTGCAGCATTTCCAGCAATCATTGAATGAGGGAATTATCCTACTGAATTAGTTTTCAATGTTGATGAAATGGGCCTTTTCTGGAAGAGAATGCCAAAATTTACATTTTTATCCAGTGAAGAAAAGATAGCACCAGGATTTAAAGCTAAAAGATTGCTTAACACTGGATGGTAACGCTAATGGAGACTTTAAAACCATTGCTTGTTTATCATTCCAAAACCCCAAGAGTAATAAGGATTTCAAAATCATCTTTACCAGTAATTTGGGAGTCCAGTAAAAGATCTTGGATTGCTATGAAAATTTTCCAAAATTGGTTTACTGAACATCTTTGTCTGTTAAACACTACTGTGAATTTAAAAAACTGGAACTGAAAGCTCTACTTTTGATCGATAATGCTCCAAGCCATCCAATGCATTTGTCTGACTTAACGACATGCATTCCAGTAGAAGTGATTTTCCTGCCGCCAAACACAACTTCATTAATCCAACCAATGGATCAAGGCATAATATCAAATTTTAAAGCTTATTATGTGCGGCAGACATTCCGACAACTGATTGATAAAATAGATGGAGCAGATAAACAATCCATTAAAGATTTCTGGAAAAACTATATCATGGATGCTGTAGACAACATCAATCTTTCCTGGAATGAGGTGACTGAGAAATGTTTGAAAGGAGCATGGAAGAATGTGGCCAGAGCTAAGCAAGGATGTTGACACATTGTTGATGTCGACGAAATTGTCAAGCTAGTTAATGAAACAGGGTTATTGCAAGTTACAACTGGAGAAATTTTTTCCAACGATGATCTTAAAGAATTAGTAGAGTAGAACAACAGGTGCATGAAGATGATGAAATTAGTGTTTCTGAAGATGAGGAACAAAAGGAACTTTCAACAGAACTTTCAACAAAAGGAACTTTAAATTTCAAATAAACTTAATTTTTAAAATTAAGTTTATTTGAAATTTAATCCATTTATAAGGTACTAATATATGTTCAAATTTTATGGTATTAAAGCGATATAATTTTGTATATTGTTGCATTTGTTGATTTAAATGCCATTAAGTGTTAAATTTTACTAGCTTTGTTAAAAATGTACGATGATTTGTAGAATACTGATATTACATTAAAAACTTACCTTACACCTTTTGACCAAACAAATTTATTCAATCTTGTGTCAATTCGAACATCAGGTGTGCCCATTTGTTTCTCAGCAAATTTTCTGATTTCTTTAATTGCTCGAGGAGCTCTTTTCTTGAAGCCACTAAAAGTTAGGAACTAGATTAAAATTCAATCATAAAACAAAACATTATATTTAAAAAATCATATTTAGATTACTAAGACTTCAAGATATCATTGAAGTTATCTCCATATTATTACAAAGTTGTAAATCATTATAATCACATCATAAAATAATTTTTAACATAACTCTCATGCAATATTTTTTAAGACTTATCTTTTGTTTTCTTTTAAATTCTAATGGTGAGGGTAATATATAATCATCATTTGAGTGTACAGTATAAGATACAATATTTTGTAGTATCTCATCTATGCTGATAAAAATAGTTATCCACTCATTTCCATCATATTCACATTGATTAGTTATTTTCATTTCTCATGTTACTCTTTGTTGTTAAAACAAGTTCATTGCTTTTATTCTTAAATATTCTATTGTATTACCTTGCCACTCAAGTAAGACATTCTTGCTCAACTGATAAAGCCTAGAAATGTTTACTGATGTGACAACAGATCAAAATTGATAAATGACTTGACTTTAAATTGACTCTGCTCGTCTTCCTCAATGAGGTTATTAATATAGCAGATTGTTGTAAGCATGTGATAAAAATGCCTCATGTTGTTTCTGCAACAATACATTGTAGTATGTCAATAATGCTGAAACATGTGGTGATCAGTATTTTAGCAGTCCAAGCACAAATTTTGCATCATGGCATTTTTTTAAATGCTAGAATGCACTGTGGCTCTTTATAAACAGCTATGATATAAAAATTTCTTATTGAGACTGCTTCTGTAAAGTCACATGTTCTAGTTTCTTTCCTGTTCATTGAGCATTTTCAATCTTTGAGCCCAACATTTATATAATTTTAAAATAACTATCATAGGCCTGTTAAAAACATTAAATTGAATAGTAAAACATAAGACAGCAAGTCAGTGACCATTTAACAAATTCTAATTAAAATCTAATTCTAATTAAGTTTAAAATCTGGCGATGTGACAATCTAAAAATTCACAAAAATAAACTGGGATAAAATGCTTCAGAATTTCATCATGTGACTTTCTGCCTATTTGCAAAATTTATTTGATAATTTGTTAATAATGTTCCGATTCTGATTTATTTTCAAAAATGTATTTAACTGTTGATTTCACACTTTAAAGAATTTTTCATTACTACTCAAAAAACAATTACAACCTATAGGGGGTAGTCATAATAAGATATTTTCTCACTTCTAGAGAAACTACATTCTATGAAAGCTATAAACTGTGAATATGAATTCTGAAAGAACAGTTTACAATCCTTATTTCACCTTTGTCAGATTGCTTTATTGATTGGCATCATTTTTTGCGGAAGTTTTTCTGTCACTTTTAAATCACAAAACAATTTTGGTTTCTCTACAAGCAAATTTCAATAATCAGTAAACAATGTCCTGAGAAAGTTTTCTGTTAAGCCATTGAACCTGTATTAATGCAAATGAAAATGGAAAAAGCAAGACTTCCATAATTTTCAAAAAAGCTTCAAAACACAATACAAAAAGAAGACAGACTGTAAATACCCCCAATCAAATAATATAAGCAAAATAAACTATAGATTATACAAACATCTCCAACCCGATATATAATATAGCTACAACCAACAGACTGCCGAAAATCTATTGGGCTAGTTTTATGCTAATTATTAAATAAATTACGTAATCAATTTGGTACTAGAGGTAAGCGTTAGGCGCCATCTCTTATTAATATTAATAATTATAAATAATTTTTAATTAATTTAAATAATTTGGAACCGCTGGGAGAAAAAATCGGCCCGGAGCGGGACTCGAACCCACAACTCCTGCTTACCGTGCAGATGCGTTGCCAGTTACGCTA